CTGCTTTATCCTGGACCCGAATGTCATCCATGTAGAATCTGTCCAGAGCACTGCAAGAGTATATTTAGGCTGGGAAGGTCTTGCTGGTGTCTAGCCACTATTCATGACAGAGTCCTAAAGGGGTAGAAGGCAGACATCATGCATTGTGCCACCCCTATACAATGCCTCCACATCATTCTCTCCTTGCCTTCCAAGGGCTGCCATCATCACATGCATCTTGTGACAAAGCAGATTTGAGTGCCCCCTCCCTCAACCCCAAAGGGATGCACTTGAATAGACAGCCCTTCCTATGTTAACTTTGATACCAAGGTCTTTGCTTAGTTATGTGTCCCAAGTCCACCAGGCCATATAAATCTCTCTCCTATCCTAACTGTCTCTAACATAGGGGACAGGAGACAGTAAGTGGAGTCAGGAATGTTCAACTCTTATAATCTGAGCTCTTCTAGGTGGGCCAAAAGCACTGACTGCTGTCTTTGATCCATTGAGCCATGTGTGGCTGTAGCGAAGGCCGGGCACAGAAGTGCTCTCAGATCTGTCTTATCAACCTATACCAGGCCTGGCCAGGTGTAGACCCCATCTGGATCTACAGCAAAGCCTACCACACCCTCTGTCCCAAAAGCATGCTAAAAGGAGACTGGTCACCTAACAGTAGCCCGAAAAAGAGGGTAATACACCGTTCCCAAGGCTGCCTCCCTTCCTGCCTTCCTATATTGCTGCAGGAGACGGTGAAATACCTTCCAGAAATTTCAGGTCCTTGCCTAACAAACCAGGCTCAGCCACTTGCCTTCAATGGGCCAATTAAACTAGTAACAGAAAGATGTATTTAATGTATGACATTAGAAAGAAAAGCAAAGACATCTAGTAAACCACACCACTACCTACCCTCTTACCCCCCCTTCACTTCCCTACCCCCACCACCATCACCCTCACCCCATGGTCTGAAAGCTGGTATCTCTTCTCAGGATCCGTGTGAGGCTAGCATTTCCCTAGTGTCTGGCTCAAGATTTAGGATGAAGGGTCAGGAATGGGAATGGATAAACTCCACTGAGGACTGCAGGATGAGATTGGGCCTGGTTCCCTTCCTCTCTGGGCAGAGGCATGGCTTCCTTCTGGGAGGGAATAGCTTCCTCCAATGTCCATTTAGCTGAATGTGTCTATCTCTTTGGTTAGGCTTTAGCTGGGGCCAGGCAGGGCCCACTAAATAACACTACCTATCCTGGTTTCATTCAGGAAAGGATGGAGCTATGTCCAAATTCCATGTCCCTCCCCACCCTCTGCCCTGCATGAAATACACACACACACACACACACACACACACACACACACACACACACACACACACACACTGTGACACCTGGGGAAAGCACTACAAGCAAGGTGACCAGGTTTCAGACTTGGAGACATCCCAGGATACTCTATCCCATTAGAAAATGTGATGAGTAACTCTCAGAAGCCCCTTTGAAAGCATGTCCTGCTGTGGACCTTGACATTGACAGAGACAAATCATCCTCCTGAAGCAGTTATAACATCTCCGGTAGTATATGGAAGGGCTGCCTGCTCAAGCTCTCTGTCATCTTCCGATGCCTCATCTCCCCGTCACTGATCACAGTCCACCTTACAAGAAGCTGAGGAGCATACTCTGTGTACAACATCATAGACTATAATCATCATAGTCTGTAATGCCTGTGTGCTCTGCCATCTCATGTAGCCCTATGCTACAGAGGTGTCACCCATGCAAACTGAATAAGGTGCCTTGAACTAGGTTCCTATTAGGTTTGAGACCAGGATGCACCAGGGGAAGGGTGGAACTAGATAAAAAGAGAAGCCAGGGTATTATTACTCCTGACACCTCAGCCTTAATATCATAGCAGGGACCTTGGCTTCTGGGACTTGGTAAAGATGTTTTTACACTTTGTCCAGCACGACACCACCATATCTCCTTGCCTTCCATGACCTTCCTCTGCTGAGCCCTTTGGCTGGGGTTCTATATTCTCAATTGTATCCTGATACCTTTAGTTCCCTCCACACATTTCATTCTCAAGTTTTGTCCATGGGGTAGGGGTGGCAAGGAGAATTTCTTTAAGCCCCAAGCCAGAAGTGACTCTAATAGGACCTTGAACAAATCTCTCAGTCTTAGTGGTGTGTGTGGCTTCTTCTTTCTTCTTCTTCTTCTTCTTGTTCTTGTTCTTCTTGTTCTCCTTCTCCTTCTCCTTTTCCTTCTCCTTCTTCTTCATCTAAGGATGGGCTCCAGGTCTGTCCTTCCATGTACCCTAAACTGAGGATCCAAATTGACAGGGCAGCTGCCATCAGAAACAAGCATTTTCACCAGGAATATGAGTGACAATTCAACCAAGCAAGGCCACTCAAAGCCCTGGCCCACATGGCTCACAAAAACCTGTGGCAGACAGGTGTTACATTGCTGAGGCAGGGGTGTGTTCTGCCTACTATCAGAAAGACCACAGCATCAAGGGCAGGGTGTGAGTCTGTCCAACCAAACAAATAGTTCTGTCATGTTCACAGACATACAGGAGGCAACACGTGGTCATCTGTGGGTGTCTTAACCTATCTTTCCCTTATCTGAGCAAGAAAATGGGGGGGGGTCACAAAATGCTTTGCTTGAAGGATTGTCCAAATGCTACAGACTTAGTACAAGTCAGTACTCAAACTATCTCTGGTATATACTGGGGACCCAATTAAAGTAAGCTGTCACTGCTCTTATTACAACCATCACTACAAACACCAGTAAAACCAAACCATCACTGGCATAACACCATCACCATAACCATCACCACAATCACCACCCAAACCAAAACTACTGTTATCAACACAACTTCCTTCACAACCACTTTATCACAGCTATCACCACAACCATCACTACCATCATCATTAGCAAACCAGCCAGTAATAGTCCCCAAATAACTCCATTCCCAGTTGCACTGGCATAGAAGCATAGGCATGTGTACACACATGCAAGTTTGCACACGCATCGGGGTTAGGCTAACAGCCCACTGGCTGGGTCTGCCTGTACTCACATTTTATTTGACCTTATAGTATTTTTAAAATGCAGGAATTTCCCAATAAGCTCTGACTTCTTGAATTGTCTTGACAGATGGGAAATACAGCTAAGCAGGTATCTCTTCCAGGGAGTATAGGATGAAAAAAAAAAGTGACTTGGTTGGAAGCACAGTGGTAACATAGCAGGAGGAGGGCAAGCCAAGAGACAATGTGAAGAGAGGCCACAGAGTTGAATTAGATGGGGCTCTTCCACTTAACCTCAGAGTGAAATGAGGAACCTCTCAGGGGATCCTAAGCAAGCATGCTATGCTCCAACTTGTATTTTCATGGGCTGATTGTGTCTGCTGTTGAAAGTCTTGGGGGTAGAGCTTGGCAGGAAAGGGCTGGGGACATAAAGAGAGATGGTTTTTATCCTCTGGACAACATGTGATGGGGCCAGCCCAGGGATGTGGCAAGGAAGACTCCATTCATGGCACATTTGAGGGAAGAGCCATCTGCACTTGTAGAGGGCTTGGTGAAGGATGCTGGTATGAAGTATGCCATCGTGGTGCCAGCCTTGGCTTCAGGAGGCTCAAGTTTCCACTGACTGATCTGGGTGTGGTGATGGGTGGAGCAGGCGCTGGGGAAAGTGAAGATGGAGGATTCACGGTGGACTTATTGTGTGTGATGTGTCTGCTAGACACCCATGGGGAGATGTTGAGTGAACAGGAGATACTCACCTAGATGCAGGGGAGCACCCAGGCTGTGGATGCAAATCTGGGACTCCTCACTGTCCAGGGTCATTGGGAATCATGGAGCAGGTGAAACTAATGGCTAAGTAGAGACAAGACTGGCACAAAGGAAGAGCTTGTAACTGCTGTCTGGGGGTTGAGGGGAGCCCTTTGTGGATGTGACAGGTGAGGTCACAAGGTCAATAGGATGAGAACTGAAGATGCGGAGATGACTCAAGGGTTAAAGCATTTGTTGTGCAATCACAAGGACATGAATTCAGATCCCCAGAAATCCACAGAAGTGCCAGGTAGGAGCCTCAGAAGATGGTGATATGGGACTTTGAAAGTAAACTAGCTAGCAAAACTAGCCATAGCTCTGAGCTCTGAGTTCAGGGAGATCCCTGTCTTAATGAATGAGGTGGAACACCAAACAACGATGATTCTAGATATCAACTTCAGGCCTCCATATGCACATGTACACACATACATATGCACTCACACACATGTGCTTCATACACATGTAAAACTATGCATACACACATGTATATACACCACATACATATATATGAAAATGGAAACTTTTTTTAAATTTTTTTGAGACAGGGTTTCTCTGTGTAACAATCCTAGCTGACCTGGAACTTGCATTTGTAGACTAGGCTGGCCTTGAACTCACAGAGATCTGTCTGGCTCTGCCTCCCAGTGCTGGGATTAAAGGAGTGTGCCACCACTGCCCTGGGAAACCAAAAACATTTATGGGGTTCGCTTTATTTTTTGAGACAGGGTCTCATTGTGTAGCTCTGGCTGGCCTGGAACTAATTGTGTAGAATAGACTGGCCTCAAACTCAACAGGGATCCTCCTGACTCTGCCTCCCCGAGTCCTGGGGTAAAAGGAATATACCACCATGCCTGGCAGAAACAATTTCTAAAGATGAGATCTAAGATGTCACCCCTGAGTTTAACAACACACTGCAGAGACAGTTTGAACAAAGCAGTCCCGAGGCCAGTGAGCCTGTGATGGATCCTCAGCACATGTCAGCACCTCCCTCCAGGTTAAATGGGGTAGTATGTGTATCCATGACTTACACACATCAGGAGTATTCCAAACACTGGGCCATCTGCTGGGCTGAGAGGTAGCCCTCAGCAACGACACAGAGGATGGAAAAAGGTGTGTCCCTGACATCTGAGTGGACCACAGGCTTCCTTTCCAGCATCCTATCCAGACACCTGGAGGAGCCATCTGTTCCGCTATCTCTATAGGCACTATTCTCTCGGCAGATGAACCCACTTCCCCCAAGAAGCCAAAGAGTGTCCCTGAGCCCACTCTCAGAGACATGGAAGCTGAAGTCACCTCTCCCCAACCCTCTGAGTGGACTTCAGTGAGGATTGGCCCTGAGGAAAATGCAGCCGGGAAGGACGTGCTGGCTGTGCGTGTCCTGGTCACCAGTGAGGACAGCAGGTATGCTCAGATTGCTGAAGCAGCAACAAGGTGATGGTGGGATTAGCTGCATCTGGGATCTGCTTTTCTTTCCTCATCTGTTAAGGGGGACCGTCATAGAGGCTCCCTCTGAAGGAACTAGCTATAAGATGCAGAGAACTGACATGTGCCAAATATTGCTTGGTGCATACATAGTAAATCCTACAAGGCTGTGTGGTCATTATTTTCTCAGAGAAGGGCAAGGCCCGGGGCTACTGTTTTCCCCAGGAGTCCACTGTCATGCAGGCACACTGAGGCTGCAAATGAGTGACACTATCACAGGGAGAGGCTCTTGGGGCCCCTAACACTATGATACATGGTGATGGAGAAGCCAAGATGGGTAGAGAGGAGAAGACAGTTCTCATGCACCCAGCATCCGATCCACACCAACTGTGGTTATGAGAAGTGCAGCACTCAGGCCTCTCTACCCTCCCACATACATTTAGTGCGTTCAGAAAAGCATCAGTATCAACTGCTTATTAATGCCTAGACACTGAGTGTGTAACTGTGACTCATACACCAGGTGAGGTCCCTGCTATCAGATATCTTCATCACCTGGGTAGACAGCCAGGGAAACAAGGAAACATTAAACAATAAAAATACCACGTTGTGTCAGGCAGAGAAATAGAATGGGGTTGTGTTATAAACAGGGTTGGGATGGTTACCTTAGAATGGATGTCCATTCTGTGTCCATTACTGAGTCCCACAGTGACAGAGTGCCAGAGTAGCCCCAGTGCCAGTGGGTTACTCCCTTCCATCACATTTGGTCCAGTAGCTAAGGGGCTTCTGTGAGACAGTGCTGGCCATGCTGGGCTCATCCAGATGGGGTCTGGAGCTAGCTGTCAGATAAGAGCAGTGGCAATGGGGTACAAATGGAATGGAAGGTCCATGTGGCCAACAGCCAATAATGGGTGAAGGAGGGATTATACTGGTAAGCTGGGGGTACAGTTCAGTGGTAGAGCACTTACCTAGCATGTGTCAGGCCTGAGTTCAATCCCCAGCACCAGGGAAGAAGGGAGGGAGGCAAAGAAGAAAGGAAAGAGGGAGGCTGGTTATAAAGGAATGCATATTTTATTCTGAGAATAGTTGAAAGGGAGTTAAATTCTAAACGGCACATCATTAACAGTTTCTAGGTACCCACAGGCTTTGGTGTGGAGAGCAAAGGATGCATGAGCCTGAAGCCAGGGGAGACTTGGTAGCAACCTGGGTCTCCTGGGGGTTGGGGGACATAGACTAAAGATGAGAGGAAGAGAGAGCCCAGGGGCTTCTTCCCAGTCTTGAATTATATTCTACGGGCATCTGAGGGTGAGGAAGACTCAGGCTGTGGGAAAGCAGAGCACTCGCTCTGTGTTGAAGCCGTTGGGTTTGATGGGCTGTGCCTCTGTGCTGACACTGAGTATGCAGTTGGGCATTAAGTCTACAGTTTCTGAGACGCCCCCTTCCCTACCACTTGAATCCCTGCAGTTTTCCCTTCCACCTGCCCATCCGGGAAAGCCAATGTGTGCTTTAGGAACCAGGTCCCTAGACATGAGCTTATTTGTCCTGGAGAGCTAAGCAGCCACACTCGTGTTGGTCTTTGTTGCCATTTGCGGATTTGGTCTGGTTTGGTTTGGGGCAGTCTCATGTGGCCCAGGGTGGCCTTGAAATCTCTATGCAGCTGAGGCTGGTCTACCTCCGAAGTGCTGGAATTGCAGCTGTGTGTGACTACATCAAGTTTATAAGGTGCTAGGGACTGAACCCAGGGCTGTGTGCATGCTAGGCACACACTCTACCAACCCACCAACATCCCCAGCCCTAAGCCAGGGCCTGGGAGGAAAGAGGGTAAGAATAGCCTTCGTTGAAGTGGCTCAGAAAGCCTAGGAGGGGACCTTCCTCCTGTCCTGTCCAAGGCTGTAGCAGCCTCTGAGACTTTCAAGACAAAGTTCCCAGCCTGGGAGGAAAATGTTTTCTTACATTCTGGAGGCTATAGTATGACATATGACAAAAATTTTTCTGGAGAGACGCAACTCACATCTACTCACCCTAAATCGGGAATCCACAACAGGCCAAGTACAAATACCACTGTAGTGATATATTATTTATGATTTATTAAAGCTTGACTGGGGATTCAGAAAAGCAAAATCAGCCTTAAGCTATGGAGATCAGGCAGTGGCGATACATACCTTCAATCCCAGCAGCCAGAAGCTAGGAGGTGGTGGTACACACCTTTAATCCTAGGACTCAGGATAAGAGGTAGTTGGATCTCTTTGAGTTCAAGTCCACCCAGATCTACACAAGAGTGAATCAGTCTAAAAGAGAATTATAGCTCACACCTTTAATCCCAACATTAGGGGAGTGTATAAGACAGGAGCAAGGCCTCAGAGAGGCATTCATTCTCTAGCCACACTGAGGAGAGGCATCAGTCTGAGGCTTGGTGAGAGCTCGTGGAGACAGGATCAGCCCTTTCAGCCTGAGGTAGAGATGAGAAGCTGGTGGAAGCTGCTTTGCTTTTGTGACATTCAGCTTGGAGTTTGAACCCAAATATCAGTCTCTGGGTCATTTATTTATTATTGTTACAAGGCCAGCTTGGTGGACCATGAGTTGGTTTTATTAGGGTTACCTAGAAGAAAATGGATGAGGGTTACCTATAAGGAGCAGAAGTGACTCAAAGATAGCTAAATCAACAAAGCCCACCTCAGTATGGGTGACACTTCACAAAGCTGGAGCACAGTGAACAGCCTGCAGGCAGCTCAACAGGTTGGATAGTGTCCTTCCCAGGTGTCTCAGTTAGTCTAAACCTCTTCTGGGCAGCTCGAATCGTTTCTGCTCCTCCCAGGTTCTCTGCTCTCAGAGCCTCCTTTGCATCAACTTGTCTGAGTCTTCTTGCCTGTTCAGCTCTCTCTCATCTGAGGGAGACTCCCAGCTTTTATTGCTTACTCTGGTGGGGTGGGGCTTAGTGAATCTAATCAGATTTGGGGACTTCCTGAAGTATTTTGAGTTGTTTACTTTCCTGCCTAAGGAGATTCTCTACAGGATGGAATGCTTCAATACTGGAGGAAGCTGTCACATGGCAAGAATGAGATAAAAGGGTGGCAGAGGAGAATTCTCCTGGGTCCCTGAGGGAAGGGTCTATCTCAAGCCTCTGCCTGGCCTGTAGATGGCACCTTCCTGTTTGCAATGGCAGCCACCTTCTACGCCCATTTATGTCCCAGTTTCTTCCTATAAAGCACCAATCACAGGATTAGGGCCCCCCATAATGGACCTCATATTAACTTAGTCACCTCTCTAATGGTCCTCTCTCTAAACACAGCCACATGCTGGGGTATTGGGAGCCGCCCCTTTAGCATAGGGATCTAAGGAGGCATAATCCAGAACAAGGCAGAGCTAAGTCTGGGCCAGAGGTGGCTGAACTGACACCCTTGCTCCAGGTGCCTGAAGACTGTCAGGGGAGGTGATGAGAGGACATGGAATGTGGGGGTGGGGTGAGGTTCTAGAGCTTCTGGATCACCCTCCTCTTTATTCTCTCAGCTCCGATGCAGAATCTGACTATAGTGACACCGGAGCCCCCTGTGCAAAGGCCTGCGAAGAGAGGCCCCAGATTCCAGAATCCCCACCTCAATCAAAGCCCCCAGCCCGGCACGTCTCCCTGAGGGAGCCCCTGACAAAACCAATATCTCTACTACACGACGAGGAGCCACAAGCTCTGCCTGGTGAGTAAAAGGGTCCACCAGGCTTTATCTGAGGATACAGAGAGGGAACAGGGATCAGGTACATACAGGGGAGGGGGCGGGGGTCAGGATCAGGACTAGACTCCTCCAGAAGCTATGGGGTCATAAGTACAATGGTATGCAATAGTTCTGGGCAGCTGTTGGATATCACTGGCTGCCATAGATAAGGAAATCTAGGTCTCCTTTGCCTACATCAGCCTCCTTGTGTCTCAGGGCCCCCTCCAACATCCCATAGGGTTTGAGAGAAGGAACATGGGTCTGGTTGCTCTGTGGCCTTAGGTAACTCAGTCTCCTAGGACCCTGTGAGCATACCTCTCAGGGTGGCACAGGATACATTACTAGTGTGTGAGGGGGCAGATGGAATGCACCCAAACTTGACCTATGCAGTAATGAGGGTGGGTTTTCCCCTGGGACCTTCTTCACACATGACCCCTTTCCATCTCTAGGTTGACCTGTGAGGTGAGTAACATGTAGCCCATTCTGTGGAGCATGCTATGGTCTCCAGACAGTGAGCTGTATGGCCAGGGCTAGCAACTCCACACCCTAAGCTCAAGCCAGCTAAGAACTTGCCTTTAGTAGCTAAGCTTTTGACTCAGTCAACAGCAACATGGGAGCAAATCAGGACATCCATCCTCTGACTTCCTAGGGACCCTGGAAGGGCCTGGGAAGAAGCAGGGTCATAGAAATCCACCACCTGAAGGACCAACTGCTTTAAATAGCCTGAAAGCTGGCAGTCAACTTGTCCTTCATTGCCCTCTGGTGGCCAAGAGCAGAATCTCTCACCAATGGGGAGGGGGTGAGAGGAGGGGGTCCCAGAAGACCAGGCCTGGGAAGAGCTGAGCCAAAAAAACTTGTATAGACATTTCCAAGCCTTGCAAACTCTGAATTTAACCTTCCATGTGGGCCTTTAAAAACCAGGAAGCAAACAGGCATGATATGTGCTAATGCCTGTAATTCCAGAACTCAGCCGATTAGGCAGGAGCATTGCCACAAATTTGAAGCCAGACCAGCCTGGGCTACAAAACAAAACAAAACAACAACAAAAATCCCTACTCTTAAGCATAACCCTGACAGAGGCATGTGTGCCTCCTGTTCACCCTCTTCTTCTCATCTCCTCTCTCCTCAGCGGGGCTTTAAACAACTTGCCCGGAAGCTGTAAATCAGAATTATGTGTCTGTCTGTATGAAAAATAAGGCTTTGGGTCAAGAAAAACACAGCCAGATTATGAGATAAAGACTCCAGAGAGGGAGGCCATAGTTGTAAACAGCCAGCTAGAACTGTTTAGAAGGAAAGTTTCACCAGTTTAGAAGGAAACCCAGAAACAGTTATTCCCACTGTCAAAGAGGAAAACACACCGGTTTATAGGTGTGCACTGACACAACTTCTACCAATGCTAGTCCAAGTTTGTGTCTCTTCTGCCATGATAAAACACTGACCAAAACCAGATTGGGGAGGAAATTGTCTATTTCACTTACAGGTTATATTCCATACTGAATGGAAGCCAAGGCAAAGACTCATGACAGGAATCTGGAGGCAGAACTCAGAGGCCGTGGAGGAGTGCTGCTTACCGGCTTGCTCCCTCTGGCTCACTCAGCTGTCTTTCTTACACAGCCCAGCCACCTGCCTAAGACTGGCACGACCCACAGTGGGCTGGCTCTCCTACATCAATTAGCAATTAAGAAAAAACCACCACAGACGTGCCCAGAGGCCAGTGTGATGGAGGGGATTCCCTCTTGTCAGATATGTCAAGTTTGCAAACCCAACCAGCACAATGCTTAATTCTACAGACAGTTTCTGGCTTATGTCAAATAAATGATGTCAAGAGATGTTCTAGGTCACGTCCTTAACAATGGCTGCCTATGTCTGTTTTTTTTTTTTTTTTTTTTTTTTTTTGGTACCCTGTGCTGGCAGGGAAGGGCATGCCAAGACCTAACTCTGTGAAGCCTAGGATAGCCCTAAGGACGGCCCAACTTTTTCCTACAGTTAATTACTGAGCAGATAGAAAAACGTGTAGACCATATGACTTACAACACTTTCTTGACTCATCTCAGCAGTCATGATGATGAGTGACAGACAAGCTCTGATGCAGGCAGACCATTCTTACATAGATGCTGCAGTTTAGATATGACATGTCCCTTTCCCAACCCCCACCAAGTGCTCATGTGTTGAAGGCTTGGTACCCAGCTATTGATGGCTAATTAGATCATGAATGGTGCTAACTACAGTGGATTAACTTATCAGTGAGGCCTCCTTGGAACAAGTGGCTCACTGCAGGTGTGCTTTGCAAAGATACACCCTATCCCCAGAGTCTTCCTCTCACTCCCTCTGCCTCCCAGTGGAATAGTTCACTCTACTATGTGATGCTCTGCCTCCCCAGAGGCCCATGGCAATGGATCCTGCTGGCTATGGACTGAATCCTCCAAAACCCTGATACCTAGCAAATCTCTCCTGCTTTAAATAGTTTGCACTGCCATACATCATGGTGATGAAGTGAGGCCATCACTTTTCCCAAATAGCACAGGACTAACCCCACTAGTGGATCTTATGGAGGTTCATCAGCTAAGATGCCCACCTGCATCACTGCCTCCCAGTGAATTCAGAGAAGGCTGGGTAAGAGCCAGGTATTGTTTCCAAGACTCCTGGTCTATACAGCCATAACCATAGTGGTGTTATCCACAACAACCCCAAGAGGAGATAAAACCCTCTCTCTCCATCTCTCGACATCATTTCTATTTGGTTGCTCTGGTTTTATCATTTTACAACACAAGAGTAAATGTAAAAAGATAATGGCTGTGATGGTCCTTTTTCCGTTAGTGTGTTTTACCACTGCTTATCAAGAGATTTCCGGGACTGCCTTGGCACACCAAGCAATCTTGAACACCTTCCAAGTGCTTCCACAAAGAACCTTCCTGAGATGAGGGTGTGAAGCCACTTAAATCCTTGTGCTATGGAAACTAGAAAACACTCACTTAAATGATCTGTGTCAAATCAGCTTTCCATTGCTCTGATAAAATTCCTGAGATAGACTTACACAGAGGCAATACTGTGGCTTGCTGTGGATCCTGGTTTCTTGGCCCAGTTGCCTTTGGGCCTGTGGTGGGGCGATATATTACAGTGGAAAAAAACCTGCCTGCCTGGTAGAACCTGAGGGGAGTGGACAGGAAGGAGCAAGGGTCCTCATGTTCCTTCAAGGTTACAAGCCAGGTGACCTAACTTCCTTCTACTAGACCCACCTCCTGAAACGTCCACCACCTCCCTCAGTACCACAGGCTAAGGACTAAACTTTTAACAGAGTAGCCCTTTGAGGACACTTAAAATCCAAAGCATAAGAACCCCATTCAGTGGTTCATATAAATCTTAGGTAAAAGGCATAGTCCCAGACTCCCACCACCCGAGAGCCAGGCTCTATGGGCCTAGATTGAAATTGAGTGTCTGCACTTGGCAAAAGAATCTCGAGTGCTCAGATGCAGGTAAGCAGGCCTGTGATGTAGGCATCACAGCAGGGTACCCAATGCCCACATACTGCCTGTAACTCCAGCTTGAGAGAATCTGACATACTCTCCTGGACCCTGAGGGCAGCAGGCATGCGCATGGTCACACACATACATGCAGGCAAACACAAATACACACACACACACACAGACAGACACACACACACACACACACACACACACACACACACACACAAAGTTCAGGATGTGAGTGTGTACACCTGAAATCCCAGCACTCCAGAAGCAGAGGGATGAAAGTTGCTGCTCAGCTGAGGTCAGCCTAGTATACACAGCAAGATCCAGGCCAGTCAGTGTGCCACAATAAGACTATTTCAAAACACAAAGAAAGGAAAAGAAAAGAGAGGGGGAGTAGAGTGAGACAGGGTTTCTTTTGCTAAAATGTGCTAGCTCCAGAGCAGGGCAGGAAGAGCAAAAGAGCCAGAGGACCAGGGAGTTTGCTGTGAGATTGTCTCATAGTCATGTCAGAAGCTACACCCAGAGAGTCTCAGCAACATGACTGACTAACATGAGCTGAACAAGGACAATAGACATGCCAAAGTGGACAGGAGCAAGCCCATGCGGTCTCAACTTTACACAAGACCCATAGTCAACTAAGGGATGCTGAGAGCAGGAGGTACAGTCTCCCCCAGGGGAGAGCACATCAACTGGTTGTCCAATACCAAATATGAGTAACATTACACAGAAAAGCTTATATGTAGGAAAATATATGTATATACATATATATATATATGCATGTAACAACAATTAAAGAAAAAAGGCCATAATTTGAAAGAGCAAGAAGTATATGGGAGGGTCCAGAGGGAAAGGAGAAATAATATAATTATACTATAATCTCAAAATTTAAAAAAAAAAAATGCTGCTCCTCACTTGGGCCCATGAGGTAATACAGAGCAAGGTAAACATCTGGCTTTTCTCTTGAGTTTGCATCTGTCTTTGTCCAAACTTTAGACAAGACCCCTGCACGATAATCACCCCAAGAGTATCAATGTCAAACCCAGTGATACTTACCCTATCTCACCACCCCCCAACCCCAACCCTAGCCCCGCTTTATGAAGGCACATAGCTAAAAGCAACCCTGGCTTTACTTTTTAGCCTTTATAATGTCCTGTTCCAGGTCCCAAAAGTTTTTAGGCATTGTCCTAAACCTACAGTCACCTCTTAGATTCCAGACCAGCAGAGCCTGGCAATTGGGTCACCTGGTAATGAGATTACACCCAGCCCACCACCCCACCCCACCCCCAAGCCACAATCATCAAAAGGGATGGCTTGTCCTCTCAAACACTAAGACTGCTTCTCATCATTCTGCAGAGCCAGAAAAGGGCAATCATTAACCAGACCACATCTCAACTTTGATGTCTTGCCTCCTGGCCCAGTTCTTTGTCTATTAAACCCAGAGCTCATGTCAGTGCTCCAAAGATGGGCTCAAACGCTTGCTTTCTATCCACTTAATGATGTTTTTAAAAACTGTTTCCTACATCTTCACCATGATTTCTGCTCATTTTCTCTGGGGCAAGTTTGACATGTGGGAACCTGTCTGGGTAAAACACCATGGCCAGGGCGACTTAGAAAAGGAAGGGCTCATTTGGGCTTACAGTTCTCAAGGGATGAGAGTCCAGCATGGTGGGTAGGCACAGCAGCAGCACACAGCAGGCATGGTGGCCAGAGCAAGTAGCTGAGTGCTCACATCTTCAATGGCAAACACAAAGCAGAGTGTAAACTAAAGTAGAGTGGGGTTTATATGTTCTCAAGGCCCACCCCCTCAATGACACACTTCCTCCCGTGTTGCACACTGGGGTACAAGCGTTCAAATTCCTGAGCCTCTGAGGTCATTTCTCAATCCAACCATCACAGAAGCTGTGGGGTCAGGCCTCTGACCTAGGGCTCCAGTTATATTATGACCTCACTATTGTTCCTGTCGTGGTAACACTGTGCCTAGGTACCCTATTGGCACCAATGGTGCACCTGAGCCATCGGTTCCACCGTCACAGAGTTTAAAGCAGAGATCCTAAGGAGCTGGGGGGTCTTGTCCTGAGAAAGGAAAGCCCAGGTAGTAGCTGGCATGGCAGTGCTGAAGGTCAGCTCAGAAGGGCAGGGGTGGGTGTCTGGTGAGATGAGACAACACTCACTGGCCAGGTGGTGGATTCACAGAGCTCTGTGTTCAAACCTTCTCCGCCCATACCCACCCAGACCCCTCCCATGGGTGTCTTTCTTTTTCATACCTTCTAGGTCCATCATGATTCCCTCAGATGTGCACGCATGCCCTTCCTTTCTCTATGAAGAAGCACAGAGGCCTGGGCATTAGAGTCCAGCATGGGACCAGGAAGCACTTGGATTCCATGCCTGTTCTTGGGTTCAGAATGGCCAGTGCCTGAGTTCAAGGCCCAGCCAGGGAGAGGGGAAGCACACAGGGGACTGCAAATGTGCTTTCATTGGAAACCCAACTTTCAGGAGTCAGTCCTCACCTTTACTCTCCTGAAGCAGGGTTTCTCCATTGCTTCCATACAGTACACTACAGACCAGCCAGGCTGTGAGCATTGCACTGGGTCGCCTGTCTACCACCCCTCTCACCATAAGAGTGCTGCAATTATACATGCATGCCTCTATGAACAGATTTTTTTGAGACTGTAATTTAATAAATTTTTTTCTTTTCCTTTCCTCCCTCCAAACCCTCCTATATACCTCTCCTTCTGCCTTCAAATTCATGGCTTTTTTTTCCCATTAATTGTTATAGCCTGCATATATGTGCTTGTACATGCACTTATATTCCTAAATACGACCAGTTGAGTTAGGGATCAGGTTATCTGCTGAACAATCTCCTCAGCTTCCTGTGTAATTACTTGATGAAGAATGAATGAATAGTGGGCTGGGGTCAGAGAAGTACATCCTAAGTGTTAGCCTGCTAACTTTTGGTGAGAAAGCCACAGGAGACAAATTCTTCTACACAATTGACAAACTCTTACTCCCTCCCATCCTCCCTGCCCCTTTCTGTTTTCTACTATAGCTCTGCAACGGACTCAAAGCCTCCAGTCTCCAGTTCCAAGCAAATACCAGAGCTGGAGGAGAAAATTCCAGTCCAGTGAGTCATGAACAGGGCTGGGGGTGGGGGGTGGCTGCTCTCATTCCTTACATGGTGTCTTCTCTGGCATAGCCTGGGATATGAGGACAAGAAAACCCATTAGCTTGACTTGATTTCCACTAGGAAGCCTTTGTCAAGGGATCTGGAACCTCCCAGTGCCTCCCCCTCTGCTCTGAGATTCCAGTGCATTAAGATTCTGTGCTTTTACCAGAACACCTTCTCTGTCATGAGCTCCAAGCTTGAATTGAGAAAAGAGAGACTGAGAGCCAGGCCCTTGGTTCTGTCCAACGAACTGGACTAGATCCCCCTTTTGGCTTCATGTCACTGTGGCCAAAGCATGAAGGTAGCTGCTTACACTAGAACATGAGGGTAAACACTCGCGTAGCGTGGTCATGTACACAGTCACACAGCAAACAGAATCCCCCCAGAACCTTTGAGTAAAAAGCAGGAGCTCCATCCTGTTCTGAGCCCATCACCCTCTTCTGCCTCCCCTTGTATCCATATTTCCTCTGCAGCCTCACACTGCCCAAGGCTGGCCCAGGAAGGCCTTGGGCCCTAACTCTCCCTCCTTCTGAGTCAGTCTGATTCCTGGCCAGTGAGTCATTTCCCATCAATCCCCAGACTCAACATCTCTCATTGTGTCTACCAAGGACACAGGCCACCTTTGGAGCTGGACCAGATCTAGGGATGAGCTAAAATGACAACTGTCTTCCCAGGTGGCAAATGTGAGACCACAAAGTGGTCTTCTTACCCTTTGCCTAGGGTTGATGCACTAGATCCTGCTTTCAGGCCAGTCCACCTGGGTGTTGAAGCTATCCCAAAGTTTCTGAGTATCACCAGCATCAGGGGGGTCAGTCTGTCCTCAGCAAGCCCCCAGCATGGGGTGTGATAGGAAACTGGCAAACAGCAGAGGCAGCTGTTTGGCAGGGATTCTAAAAACAAGACGGAATTCTGCTACTCAGAGAGGGTATGGGGACCGGTAGACTTCAGTGTTCATTATTAATGAATATAGGGTGTGGGTGTTGAATACACAGTGATGCTGAGTGCGGACAGAGCTTGAGCCTATCCTTTCTGTGGTCTAGCAAGGTCTGGTTCAAAGGAGTTCTTGTTTATGAGTAGAAGGAAAGGAGGAAGGGAGGAAAAGAGGGAGGGAGGGAGGGAGTTGGGAAGTTGGTTTGCCTTAGGCACAATGAAACAGCACATGGATTCAGATTTGCAAGCTGCTGCCCCTAGAGGGCGCTCCAAGACTTTGAGAAGACTGAATCCTTCATAGTCTTCAAAATCTAGGAAGCAGTTGTACCTGGAATCTAAGTTCTCAAGGCAATCCCAGAAGTCAAGAACCCCTATGCCCCACAAGAAGGTTTTTCAGTCAATAGGAGATAGAACATAGAGAACCTTTCCAAGCTGAGCATGCTCAGAGTGACCTCTTCCATGGGGGTGGGGGGGTCCCACTGCCAGCAAAGCCAACAGGAGGTGTAGCACAAGGACTTGCCCCAGTGGGCACAGAGGCTGTGACCCTGGCCCAGGCCTGCTTATTAAGCCCTTTGACACAAAAAGACCTCAGAGCCAACAGCCCTCAGATCCTGTCCCCTATAGAAGGCAAAGTAGCCTGGCTGGTCCATCCTAGAGTTCCTGGGCAAGCACCAGAGAGGAGGATCTACATAGACAACGAATAAGTTCCTAGGCCAAGAGTTAGAGAAACCCTGGCTAGACTGGGTGTCCCATTCCCTCTGAAAGAGTTGGAGTGTCTCTATCTTTGCTGGATGGTTTTTGTGTAAGAGGAGGAACTAGGTGTGATTTGTACTAAGCTAGCATTTGTCTGCATGGTTGTGTGTACTTTTTGGATGAGGACACTGGAGGTAAGCAACTTACTCATGTGAGTTGTAAATGTGAACAAACTGGGGCGTTGGGGTCCCCTTTATCATCTTTTAGAGGAACTTGAAGACATCACCAGTCTTACAGGAGAGATTTCCCATCTCTCAGCCCCTCACTGGCTTTTCTTTCCCCTCCTGGAGTCATGCCTGGCCCTTGGGTGTGACTTGTCCCAAGGACAAAGACAAAGGAGAGACTGGGCCTCCATGTCTCCATTTCTCAAGTCTTCCACAAGTTCTATCTTTAAGACAATAATGACCTTGTGTCCAGAGACCCCTACCACAAGGGTGGGGCCTGGGATCAAAGGAAGAAGGAAGCAACTTCTAGGTCACAATCTTATAGAACCCAAGACTTTTCTGTCTAGCTTGTGTCCCAAGGTATCCCTGGCCCTGTGCTGCAAGGTCCCCTATGACTCTTCAGAAGAACAAAGGGGCAGTCTGTGGAGCTGAGGGGACTTTTGAGGCTACTTAAGGAGCCTGATTCAGAGGATGGCGGAGAGAGGAGAGTGAGGGGGCGAAAAAGAGGGGGAGAAGGAATTTGGCAGGAATTTAGCAACTGGGGGCAGGAAGCAAGACAGAGACTGACTCACAAGTTGCCTTTTTAGGCTCGAACCATCATGTTGTGGGCTGAGATGGGGTGTGGGTGATGGGATGGAGGCCAGCACTCCCCTGCGTCAGCTCCTGGCAGCCAATGGCTTTTCTCCCAGGATCTCCTCCTTGCCCCCAGTTACCTTTTCCTTCAGAAGCATCCTGGGGCAGGGGTGGGGTACCCTATGGGAACTTATGAACCACATGTGTATAGAGCCATCTCTTCAGAGTCTATGCCTGGTATGTACTGCCTAACATGTTTGCCTTTGTGTGAGGACAGCAAGAAGCATACTAAAAGTCCACCAACATCCCCCTGAAAGATGGGTGGAATTCTTCTTGAATGGAGGGAACTTAGGCATGGCTTTTCTTCCAGACTTGTGTCCCCAGAGATCCCATAGAGTCTGTGTCATTAAGTTCCTTGAATTTCCTCAAGGTAACGAAAGCATAGTTTGAGTACCTGAGCAGGTGCCCATCACCTAGAGCTTTGGGGGAAACTGAGGCCCAAGACTTGTGTTGAACTAAGAAATATAGATGTGTAGAACTTGTAGATTAGACACAAAGGGAAATCTGATTGGTCCATTTGAGCTGTAGGAAGCAGGGGTTGAGATATGGATGAGAGAATGAGCTAGTGAGATACACAGTTCCAGGATGTGCCTAGGGGACAGTGCTATGGAGCCCCGGTGGTTCGTGGTGGCCTGTGTGGTGATGTCTTGTTTATACTCTAACAAATAAAGCATGCCTGGAGATCAGAGGGCAGAGCTAGCCACTAGTTAACAATGGAGGTCTGGAGGTCTGTACAGACAGACAGGCTGGACAGAGAGAGGAATATAAGGCAGGGGGAGACAGGAACTCAGTCCCTTTTAGCTGAGGAGTTAGCAAGGTAAGAGTTGGCTGTGGCTTGTTCTTTTCTCTCTCTGATCTTTCAGCATTTGCCCCGATATCTGGCTGTGAGGTTTTATTATTAAAACCAATTAGAACTCATGTTACAGGCCTGAGGATGAAGCTCAGAGTATGCCCACGAAAGACTGTATGCTGTTTTCTGAATTTACCTGAGCACACGTTATGGGAAATTCCTCCACCTGGAGATAAAATACTTGACATTGCAGATTTAAGGTTACCAAGTGGAGGGGAAGTGGGCGAAGTGTCGAGGGACAGGAAGTGTCAGCAAATGTGGGTCCGAATGACCGACCGCCCAGGCTGCACTGTCAGAATCCTGCTCCTGCAGGACCAGATGACTGCAGCTGTCCATAGTTAGAACTGCCCAACCCCCAGAGGCCAGCCTAGCTCCTTTCTCATGTATCTCTGAACAGATGCAATGCTTCCTCCTGTTCCCTGAGCCCCAGAAATTTGGTCAGGCCCATTAATTCTGTGTGATTCAAGCCACTGATAAGGGTGTAACTTCCCTCCCTTGAGTTCCCATAAGATCTCAAGCTAACCGCCTCATCTGAGAGCCCCTCAGCAGCACACACAGGAGAGGAGAACCCATTTCATTAGGACTAGCATCTATCCTGCCTGTGCCCACAACTAATGGTCTGACATCTTGTGGAAAGAAACCTCAGAAAGTTTATTGATGAAGAGATTTAGTGCAATCCCAGCTCCTGACCACCATGACCTCAGGGAAACATTAGCTGTAAATGTCCATCTCCAAATAGTACTCTGTGGGTTGTGCTCACATCTCCCAGGAACGATCTTACAGAAGTTGGAAACACATGCATGACTTCTGCCCCAGAGCCATGCTACCAAGTCCCATGCTATGGGCACTAGAGACCTCCCTCTCACTCCATACCCAGCATCTTCCTTCCTAAAACTAAGGGTCCGCCCACAGTCTTCTCTTTTTATGCCAAAAAACAAGGCAACATGAAGTATGTTGTTTCCTTGATAGGTTCAACACCCATGAACAGAAGAGCACCGTTGGCCCCAAAGGAGCCTCCTCCTCCGTCTTTATCTTCTCCATCTTCCCTACCATCTTCCTTTTCTTTGGTCAATGAACCTGGACACACTTCAAATAATTCCTCCCCTCCTCAGGTAAGTGCTCTCGAGGGCCCTGCATGAGCGACGGGAATGTCGACTCACTCTGCCACACTCCTCACTACTGCCACACTTAATTCTGGATTCTAAGTGCTCATAGGTCCCTCCCAAGTGCAAAGCCAGAGCAGAGACAGGCTCTGCTATGGGCCTCCAGACACTTTTTACATGTGCCTTTCATAAAAACTCACCCTGGGCCCCCCTTGTGAGCAGTTACCCCCTTCAGCATTGTGTGGGAGATGAGCATAGTACATGTGCCCCTGAGGAAGTTCACACAGGGAAGAACAGCCAGAGGGTGATAGGTCCAGAAATAAGGGTGGTCTCATTAGCATTCAAGGACCTTGAGAGCAATATCTATTAGAAGAGAAAGTGACATCACTGAAATGGGTGGCTGGACTCTCCTTCCCTGCATATCACGCAGTCTCCGTAACCTGCTAGGACTGCACTAGACTCAGTAGAGTCCTCAAGACAGAAAAGGTGTGCACTCTTGAAGCCCTCTGGCCCGTGGCTTGCCCCTCGGGCACCAGGACTCTTGGCAGGACATGGACACTCTTTGTAAAGTCCATTTCTGTTCTGTTCCAAGTTCCCATTTGCTAGAAACATTGATTTCCCAGCGGTGCAAGGTGTGACATTTAGAAGGGTCCTTGGAAAGCTCCAAGGCCATCCTTCCCTACCAACTCTTCAGTTCAGAAGAATAACTGTCACTCCTTACCTTGATGGCCCACAAACAAGGGTTGAAGAAACTGAAAGTCCCCTTTAGTAAAGGTGGTACTTGAGCAAACCATGAGGGACCTGCCCTGCACTACCTGCGCTTACTGTTCAGGAGCTTGACAAGAGCAGCAGCCATGCCAGGCTTTCCTTTCTGGCTTTTTCTACACTTACCCTAGAGCCTTTAATGGTCTTCAATTAGAGCATATTTAGGGGCTGCAGGTAAATGCCAGCCACTTGGAACAAAGAACGGCCTTTCTGAAACCCCCTTCTGACTTTGAGTATCTAAGAGCAGGAGAGAGGAAGGGAGGGAGGTGTCCACTCACCTTCCCATCAAAACAAACACTAGGAGCTTTAAGTAACTGCTGTTTCTGCCCATCCCCTGTAGGTGCCAGCTTATGACCTCCACCCCCCACCAGTCTCCAGAGATGATTGCAGCCCTACTCCTCTCTACCTGAGACGTGCTAGGGCTCAAGGGCTCTCGAAGGAAATTCCTCTCTATCTGCCTCATGGTCCCATGCAGGAGAGCACAGGCCTGGTGAGGCCTTGTGGAGAAGGTTTCAGCAACCCTACAGAGATGACTTCAGAGGACTGCCAGGAAGCACGGGACCCTGTTAGGAGCACCAAAGGCATGGACAACGATTCCCACCCCATTGCAGGGAAGGACTGGTATTTGTACAATCAAAACCTAACTCTTAGGACTGCGGGGAACCCTAGAGAAGTGAGTGAGGGACCCAGAAGAGACCAGACAGGTGTTCCACAGCCCTCTGAAGAAAAGAAGTTGGGCTTGAAGAAATTAGTCCTTACACCAGAGCAGAAGACCATGTTGCTAGACTGGAGTGACTCTGCCCCTGAGCACAAGGCTGGGGAGCAGCATTCCCAGGAAAGAGCTGAGAATGGCAGAGGCTGTACCCTGAAACCATTCTACTCTTCCACCCTCCCTAGGCCAATGAAAGAGAAGCTGCTGTCCCAGACAGGGGCCCAGGAGGAGACTCGTACCCCAGCTGACAAGGCACCACGGGAGCGAGAAGTGCCTCCACCCAAGTCCCCCCTAAGACTCATAGCAAATGCCATCCTAAAGTCTCTGCTCCCCAATGCTGAAAGTGGAAAGAAGACCTGCCCTAAACCAGAGTCAAAAACATTGCCTCGGGGCCAGCCACATGGCTTTACTCGCTCCTTTAGTCTTCGGAAACCCAGTTCCAGTAAAGATGGGGACCAGCAGTCTCCAGGGAGACACATGGCCAAAAAGGCTTCAGCCTTCTTCTCTTTGGCTTCTCCAACTTCTAAGGCCCCTCAGGCCTCAGATCTTAGTCTTCCTGACCCCATCCTCCGCTCACGGAGTTTGCCCAGTCGTCCATCCAAGATGTTCTCTGCAGCCACATCTTCACCACCTGTCAGCAAGATTGAAGATGTCCCCACCCTCCTGGAGAAAGTGAGTTTGCAAGACGCCACTCATGTTCCAAAGAAACGAGCATCACGTATTTCCAACCTTGGCCTCAAAGATAAATCCTTTGAGAGTTTTCTCCAGGAATGTAAACAAAGAAAGGACATTGGGGACTTCTTTACTAGCCCCAAGGAGAAGGGGCCACCCAGGAAGAGAGTCCCATCCTTGGAGAAGCTGGTACAGCCTTTGGGCAGCACCTCTGTGGGGCAGGTGGCACATCCTCCTACAGGGCAAGATGCACGTAAGTGGCTTGCTTAGTAGTCAAGTCTAGAGTTCAGCTGGGCAGTTAGCAGTCTCCCTGATTCACAGACAGGCACTGTGCACTTTGATTTACTTCTCCAGTTCATTCTGACGTAAGTGGGAAAACTTGGGACTGGTGAGATGGCTCAGCTGGTCTTACAGGCCCTTGCTGCCAGCCTGATGACCACATGGTGGAAAGAGAAGAGCTCTCCCAAGTTGTCCTGTGTCCTCTACCTGTGCATCTCCTTTCCTTAATACACAGATGAATGTAATTGAAAAGACATGTAAGGAAACTTGAAAATTTTGTAAGAGAAATCCTAAAGGAAATTGAAATTTTGTTATAGAGTTAAATTAACAACAATCCTAGCACTTCCCTTTTCTCTGTTACCATGTGATCATTTTTGTTGAGATGTACATATAATTGTATATTTTAAAAGACCAACTTTATAGTCTAGGTATTATACAAATAATCACAGATTCTATATACATGTGATTTAAAAGAATGTTCTATCTTGAGGCAATATTGTCTTTAATGAACCATTAGTTGATTGTTTAAATTGTAAGTATTTATGTAATATGTATTTATGTAATATATCTATACACATGCTTACTTGTAAGTGAATGTATTTATAATGTATGGATGGTGATGGTTAGACATTTTTGCACATGTACCCTTTGCCCTTTGTTTCCCTTGAATTACTAACCACTTTTCTGTATGTTTGATTACCAATGAAAATAGAGACTTTTTATATTTAAACCTGGTTGTTGCTAATTATTTAATATATCAAAGATTCAGAGTAATCAAACAGTACGGAAATACCTAGCAAAAAGCAGAACATGTTATTGTTTCTGCACTTTGCCAAACATTTAGTGTATTTCTTTAAAGATAGCTTAAACACATACATGATGTCTTTTTTTTAATGTAGGTATGAGAATGTGTGGTACATATGCATGTGTGTGAATTTGTGCATGTATGTGCACTCTAGGCTAGAAGAAGTTGCTGGATGTCCTGGTCAATTACTCCCTGACTTCTTAGTCCCTTTAAAACAGCATCTCTCACTGAACCTGGAATTATGCTGGTAGCAAGAAAGCCACCATAATCCTCCTGTCCACTCCCCTATGATGCCAGGATTGCAGGAGTGGGTGCAGCCTTGCACAGCTTTTTATGTGGGGATTTTAACTTGGGTCCTCACATTTGCACAGTAAGCAGCATCCTTACCCTATGAGCTGTCTCCCCAGACAATGATTTCTTTTGTGGCTGAAGTGGTTCACTTGACCCCTTTAAACAAATTGTGATCCTATTATTTCCAGTTTTCAAAAATTCATTACCTATATATTCTTACCTTTAATTTTTTTTAATTTTAGGGGATAATCAGTTTTCAAAAATGGTTTATCTTCTTTTTACCCTAATCAAATATCTGTATAGATTAACAAGAGAACTTATTTGCAGCCAAGTTTAAAATAAGCATAAGTTTATTGAGTATATTGAGATATAAGGATTCTTTTCAGACACCATGAAATTTCATTTATATATATATGTGTGTGTATGTTTAATTTTTATATTTACTCACTTTTATTTTATGTATATGCATGTGTTTCCTACATGTATGTCTGTATGCCATGTGCATGCCTGGTGCCAATGGAGGCCAAAAGAGGGTATTTGGCCTCCTGGAACTAGAATTACAGATGGTTGTGAGCCATTGTGTGGGTGCTTGGAGTCAAACCTGGATTCTCTGCAAGAGGATGTTCCTAATTTGGCCATATCTCCAGCCCTACTTAATAGATGTTTAATAGATGGTACATTTATCTGCTTTAAAACTAAAAGGCACATAGCTGGATGTGGTACTGCATGTCTGTAATCCCAATACTCATAAGTCTGAAACAAAGGAGTATGACTTTGAGGCCAGCCTGAGCTATATAGTGAGACTAGATCTAAAAAGAAAGAAAGAGCAAAGAAAAGCCAAAGGAAAAAAAATAGCTGGGAACTCAATCTATTTGCATAAATATGAATTTATCCATATGATTAGAAAACTTCTGCAATGCAAAAAGCACTGTTAGCAGAGTGAAAAGGAATTCTAAAGAACTGGAGAAAATCTTTGCCAACTACTCATCTGATTAGAGATTCATATGCAGACTCATTAAGAACTTAAAAAATTAAACACCCAAACAACAAATAATCTAACCAATAAGTGGGAAAATAAACTGGATAGTAGAAGAATAAATGTCCAATAGATGCATTAAAATGTTTATTTAGCCATCAGGGAAATGCAAATCAAAACTGCCTTAAGATTGCATCTCACCCTAATCAGAAGTGCTGTCATCAAGGCCATCAAGGAAACTATAAATGCTGGCCAATGAGAATGGAGTTGGAACAAACATGAGAGACTCTTCTGTATTAGTAGCAGAAATATAAGTTAGTTTGGCTACTGTGAAACTTGGTATGAAGGTTCCTTGAGCTGCCATAAGATCCAGGTGTCCCACACCTATTTACACATCTGAAACAAAGTCAGCACACAACAGTCCTGCACACCCATGCACACTGCATACCATTCAGAAGAGCCAAGTTATAGACTCATTCAGCCTAAGTGCCCATCAGCAGATGGAGAGGTCCCAGTGTGGCAGCATAGGTCTGCAGTCTTTGCTCTTGGGCAGGAGAACTGAGAGGTGGAGAACAACTTGGGCTACACTGAGATCCTGTCTCAAAACCAAATCAGTGGGGGAAATATATATATATATATATCACACACATACCCCAAAACAAAAAGAAAATAATATATATATATATATACATATACATATACATATACATATACATATACATATACATATACATATACATATATATATATATATATATATATATATACACACATACATACAATGGAGTAGAGAGATTGTTCTTGTCCTATGGGATTTTGTTATTGAGTAGTGTCCATAATGTAAAGTGTGTTTCAGTTATTCAATGCTGCTCATACTAAGAACTCTTACATTGGTTGGTTATTTTATCAATTACTAAGAGAAGAGAGTGAACACCCCCAACTAGTTTTTGTGTTTTTATGTTGTTTCAGTTCTGTGACTTTTGGAGTCATGTATGTATGTATGTATGTATGTATGTATGTATGTATGTAATATGTATGTGTGTATGTATATATGTATACATATATATTCTTTTTAATATATTTATCTGTGTGTGCATGTATGTGTGATATGTGCATGTGTGTGAGTGTGGACATGACACATGAGTGGATGTCAAAGAACAACTTTGGGGGTTGGTCCTCACCTTCTACTTGTTTAAGACAGGGTCGCTTTTTTGAGATTTTAATTTTATTTGATATGTGTGGTCTTTTGCTTGCATGTATGTTTATGGACCAAGTGCATGCGGTGCCCAAAGAGTCAGATCCTTTGGAATGGAATTATAGACAGTTGTGAGCTACCATGTGGGTGTTGGAAATCAAACCCAAGTGTAAGCATTTGGGGTGGATCCGATCGGACAGGTATTCTGGGAGTCACAGAATACTGAGTGTTACAGCTCAGATGGAAAGGTATCCTGGAACCACGGAATACCGCAGGTCACAGTAAGCGCAGCAGCTTACAGCCCTGCTTCAGGGAAAGGCTTCCCCAGTGTATCAGCTCTTCTCCAGCAGAAGGTTTCCCCAGCTGTGAGGGTTTCCCAGGTGTATCAGCTCTGCTCTGACAGGACAGCGGAACTACTTCTGGATGGAACAGCTCTGCTCCAGCAGGAAAGGGCTTCCCAGCGAAGTTGTTACAGTTCAACTCTGCTCCCCTGTAGAGTGGAGAGCAGAGGGTAGCAACGCCATCTGCCAGAGGAAGGTTTCCCCAGTGAAAGTGTTAGGGTCATCTCTGCTCTGCAGCAAAAGGTCCTCGCCCAAACCTCATTCAAGAGATTTATTGGGAGGGAAGAATATAAGTGAGTGGCTGCCTCTACCAGGGTGGAAGTAGGCAGCCGGACAGCCACAAGCTGAACAGCCACAGGGTTTATACAGGGATTCTTAGTTTTTACAGAAAGATTTCCGGGGTGGGGATTGGTCACATTTCAGTCCCTGAGCTTAGAATGGCTAGATCTACTGCTCAGGGATTGGTTAGTTTTCTGCACAGGTTTAGGGTCAGATTCATTCTGGTTTCAGGGCCAAAGTGTGTTTCTTTCTCTGGTCCTCTTTAGCCTTTTGGCTCTAATTTGGGGGCCAGGGTGTATCCCCCCCCCACTGGCTTTGATTCCAGGGACAAAGTGTGTTTCTTTGGCTTTGCTTAGGGTATGTTTCCTTGCTGGCCCCTTTCCCTACACCAGGTTCTTTGTAAAAATAGCTTGTGCTTAGTCATTCCCCCCAGCCCCAGGCTCTCTCTTTTGTAGCTGTCCACCACTGTGTAATCCAAACTAACTGGCCTTCAAGCCTCCCATCTCACAGTACACAACTGCAATTGCAGATGTGTATATCTGGCTCTATGTGAGTTCTGGGGATGTGAACTCTGGTCTTCATGCTTGTCTTACTCACTGAGCATGACATTGTTGTCAAACCAGCTCCTATCCAAGAGGCTGATGTTTTCATCATATCAACAGTCAAAGTAGAGAGAAGCTGAACCAGAAACTGTGCATAGTAGCATTCAAAGTCCATCCTGCAGTGGCCTTCTTCATCCAAGTAGGCTCCACCTCCTACCGGTTCCAAAGCACCTTCCAATCACCTGTTCAAACACACAGGTCTGTGGCAGACATTTTGCATTCTAACAATATCAGTCACCATGCTATGGAATAGATCTCTTGATCTTGATCCTACTGAACTGAAAATTCATATCCTTTGAATGTCTCCTCAGCCCCCACCCTCCTCTCCTGCTAGTTCTAGTGATCAACATTTTATTAGATTCTCCACATCTATGAGTTTCTGTGATTTCCTCTTAGATAGAAATGCTACTGACTGGAGTGGAGGATTTGGTTTTGCTGTAGAACTCAAGCTTAGCATGTATAATTCTCTGGGTTTAATTCTCAGCACCAAGCCAAAAGAGAGGGAAGTGAGGAGGGAGAGAAGGAAGGAAGGAAAGAAGGAAAGGAGGAAGGAAGGAAGGGGAGAGGGGAGAGAAAGGAACAGGAGGAAGAAGGCAGAAAGGAGCTAACCATAGTAACATTAATTTTATATACCACTACTCTACTAAATTTATTAGTTCTCAGAGTTGTTTTGGTAGCATACATTTGAACTTCTTGAGCACATTTATGATAATTTAAATACTTGTCTGAATTTCACTGCATCAGTCATTTCTGGGTCTGTTTTTATGATGGATTTTTCTCTTCTCATTAGAGTAATTGTGTGTGTGTGTGTGTGTGTGTGTGTGTGTGTGTGTGTGTGTGTATGTACGTATACATAGTCATTGTTTACCAACTGAGTTTATGAATATTTTATTGAAAAGTGATTAGATTTTATTTTTTAATTTTAAACAGGGAACAAAGAATGTTTAATAAGCAGTAGAATAACTCTAAGATCACTCTGTTCCGTCTAACGCTTGTCTTTACACTGTTAGGTATGTCTGTGATAAGTGTTGCTCTAGCACTAATCTACCTGTTAATAAAGTAAAAGCTTCCCATGATCTCTATAATGCCCCAGGTGTCTGTCCTACTCTGACTAGGGACAATCAGAGAATCTCCCACCCAGGAAAGCTTAAAACAGTGGTTCTCAATCTGTGGGTCTCAAACCCTTTGGCAAACCCCTGTCTCCAAAAATATTTGCATTACAATTCATAACAGTAATAACAAAAATAATTTTATGGCTGGGAGTCACCACAACATGAAGAACTGTATTATTAAAGGGCCACAGCATTAGAAGGGCTGAGAACAGCTACAGTAGAGACCATTGAGCCTGCAACTTCTTTGCAGTTGTATGCCCAACCAGGTAGTTACTTTTTATACATCTTTGGATTCCTGTTAAGCAGTAGGTACACATGGACTTTACTCTGGTTTCTAATGTTCTTTTTTCACAGCATTCCCTCCCCTGCAGGGCTCCATCCTACACATGACCACTGCCTCTGCCTGACCAAAGTCTGAACTGCCTTTGCCCTGTTTGTATTTTCCCTGTCTGCATTTGGTTATCAAAGAACCTCGGGACAGAAGCATCTATGGCTGTAGGACTTTCTGTATGGGTTTTGACTCTTATATTTTATCTTTCTATACTGCCTGTTGACTAATGTCCAAAAAAAAAGATTCTTTGTATATTGTGCCCTGAATTCTACTGCTTTCTGGTGGGAAGTCAATTCCAAAATCAGTCATTCTAACATAGTGTAGTGGAGCAATGCTACAAGCTCTTAAAAACTGAGAAGGAAAAGTGACCTTCAGAACAACTGGTACTCCATTATCTAGAGAGATGACTGCTAATCGCCTTTCTTACCCAAGGAGGGGCATATGCTTGGAAGCCATTTTGCCCCCATTTCCAAATGAAATTCTACAGAAATATTTACTTTTTGAAATTAGAAAAAGTTTCAACTTTACATCTATACTTCTCCCATACTTAAAAGTCAATTAGGCAGTTTTAGTAACATAAAAGTATTGTTAATTGAGTCAATGATAACAATGGAAATGGTGGAGACAGCTGGGATGTTAATGTTGTGTAGAATCTTCTAGGAGACACACCTTTGAGTCTTCTGCAAGAATGTTTTTAGAGAGGGTTAATTGAGGATGAAGACCTATCCTGAATGTGGACAGCACCATCTCATGGGCTGGATGAGTAGACTGACTAAAAGGGGACAGAAAGACTGTGTGGCAGGATTCGTATCTCTCTGCTCCCTGATACTCAGAGGTGAGCCAGCCCCTTCTGCCACCATGCCTTCCTTCCATGATGGTCTATATCTTCAAACTGTGAGCTAAAATGAACCCTCGTTCCTACAAATCAACTCTTTTGAGAAGGTCCCTAGCTCAGGCTGGCTTCAAACTCCCTATGTAGCCAAATATGACCTTGAACTTCTGGTCCTCCTGTCTCTGTCTCCCAGACAGGAGAATCTAACCCAGGGCTGGGAATCTAACCCAGAGCCTCCTGAATGCCAAACAACCGATATATCAGCTGAGCTATATCCCCAGCCATGAAATTGCCCAATATCAGGTGTTTGGTCCCAGAAATGAGAAAAGGAGTAAACAAAACAAGACTAAACATTCCCAATAGCTACCTTCCATATACCAGCTTCTGTCAGGGCCTTTGATTGTCCACAGCAATTCTACACATAGGAATACTGACAGTAGAACTCGAGGGTATAAATTCTGTTATAGCTTCTCTACTCAGTGCCCTGCGCCTCAATTCCCCTGTTGTAATTTAGTGGCTGAAGCAGGATGTAATCCCTGACCAAAGAGAACACAGCCTCCTCCTATAGCGACGATGCCACTCTGTGATTCTATCTTTACCTGAGCTTTCCCATCTGGCAAATTAAAGTGGAAAACAGCAAACTCCCTCCCTAGAGAGGCTGGGTTGTTATATGCATGTTTTGTATTATTTTGCTTTGAATAAGAGCGTATGTAAATGTGTTGCTGGAGGTTAAAATTACCCTTATTTTGTAACACTTGGCTGCTCCCACTGGGGTGAATAGTTGAAAATTATAGGGAGGCTGGAGAGGATGCTAGCTGACTTGGAATTACTTCCCTCTTCTCTCTCCACCCACTCCATCGTTCTATGCAGACACAAGCTGCCACTGTAGAGTCCAATTGCCATCTCTAAGTTCTAGTGGGTTCTGCAGTGTAATGACCAGCATGGGTTCATCCTGGTATTGGCATAGACTCTGTCAGGTGTATGTTCAGGGGCAGATGTTCTTGCTGGGAAAAATGAAAGTCTCCTGTAGCACCTGGAAGCCCATCACACCTGGTCCCCAGCCAGATCACAAAAAGGTGTTTGGTCAATGTGGGCACATTACTGTCCTCAGCCTTCCAGTTCATGTTTGGAGTCTGGTATGGCCCCTCGGCTTTAGCTTCCCATGGGCCCTGCTTTGTTGGGCCGTCCCTATCTTAAACTGCTTTTTTTCCTGGCATTTGAATCATCCCTTCCATGATGTGATAATATCTGCAAGTTGGGAAAATAAAAGTGGCATTTGTTTAGCCATAATTAATGAAATATTTATGTTGCATGAGGCTATGTGATAAAATCCTTAGGCTTAGAGTCCTTTTGCTTCTGATTACATTTGGGATTTTTTTTTTCTATGACCAGACATTCTGACGCCAGCTCTTTTACACTGAGCAGATGTCGTGTAGTAAAAATGGGTGCCAGATGCTGCAAGCCGCAGAAGGGCGATTTGTTTAAGAGCTGGCTCAGACATTTTTTTTTTTTTTTTTTTTTTTTTTTTTTTTTTGCATTCAATTACTCTGTAGAATGAACCTTACCCGAGCGATCGTAGGTAACTCAGCTAACTTCAGATATGCATTTTCATAATAGATTTTTGATCCAAGAGCATTGTGAGCAAGGCTCCTGCCCTGTAAAGGGTGTTTAAGGACTTCCTTGATTTCTGCATAAAACCTTGTTTTGTTTTGTTTTGTTTTGAATGTGAGAAGAGAGCTGCAGAGCTCTTGGCAGGGATCCAGAAATGTAATTAACGTGGAGGGCCAACTTTTCAGTGGCCCTGAGGTACTGCTCTCCCAAGCTCCTGGCAGGTGCAGTGAGGGGTAGGCAGGAGGAAGCAAATAGGGTGAGGGAGAAAAGAGGCAGCTGTGAGGCGTGAAGCAGGAAAGGAAGCCAGCGGTTGGTGATTTCTCCGGTTCTTGTTTCAGGCCCTGGAGCTCCAGTGACAGAGGCCACCTCTTCTCCCTCTTCTACCACCTCCTCCTCTGCAGATGAAGACTTTGACTCCCAGCTTTCCTCCAGGTTAAAGGTAACATCACTCGGAACACCATCCAATGCCTTGGCTGGCTGGGGCTCATTTCCTATCCAGGTTTCAGAGCCAATGTGGGCTCCAGCTGCCAGGATCCTCATGAGGATCAGGCTACATTGCAACTAACAACCACCCTTCTTTTCATCTGGAACACTCTGAGATTTGTCTTCTATTTAAAAAAAAAATCTCATAGTCTCAAATGGAGGAAGGAAAAAAAGAAGACATACGGACTTGAAACCATTTGGCGAGTGCCATGCTTAAAGTGGGTTTAATATGTGGTCCAATAAGCAAACCATTGAAATTTTTCAACAAGCAGATGTGTATTTCCCCAAGGGAAGCACATCTTCATTTAAGAAGCACTAGAGGCAGACTGCATAGAAAATGTTATGTTTATTCTAATCAGAGCTATGAAACGAACCATGCAGTTGCCCAAAGACACGGGCGCACCTACTGTGAAAGGAACAACCTGCAACCTGCATGCCACTGGGAAGGCAACCATCCCCTTGGCTTAGTGGATATTAATGGCTAGAGAGCACTTTCCAAATCTCTCCTACTAATGCGGAGAAAACAGAGTGTAGTGTGCCTGTAAATGTATCTATATGTCACAGATACAGAGACTAATGTTTGCCACCCAAGCCCACTGCTGTCTTATCAAGCTCGTCCCCTAGGACTCAAAAGGGTGGGATGCTAGATGGCGGTCCTCTCGTGCCTCTGGGGTAGGCAGGGGAGCACCGCTCTAGTACTGTTTACCATTTTGGAGCAGAGAAGAGCTAGTGAGGGAAGAGGAGAAGCAAATTTATTCACTCACACTGGACTTTTCCATATCTAGCAAGGGAAGCTTTGGCTTCAGCTCAAGTCACAAAGGGGGATTCCAACTCCCCAAGGCAAGTGAGGGCACACACACATGTACACACATACAGTGGAGGGGAGGACAGGAACTTTTCTTTTTTCAATTGGGGGCTTCTTGAGTTACTTCAATCCTCACCAGAAATGAATTGTATGTAAATTGTATTACACCAATTTCTGGGGGTTCCGTATTTCCCCCATCCCCTCAAATGAGTTTAAGTTCATTCTCCACTCAAACGAGACAGATCCCAGACTCGGTCTTCTTAACACTCAGAGAGAAAGAAGAGGTTAGCACTGGCATGTGGAAATAGCAAGGCCATAATCCAAAATGAACCTCATGACCAGCTCCTTGTCGTCTTGCTGGCCTAGCACATGGCTATTTGTCACATCAGAGTGCCAGGTGGTGAAGTGTTCCCAGGCTACCTTCTTCTAGTGGGCCCTACTCCACCAGGAAACCTTCAAATGGGAAGGAAGGGGTTTGGCCTCTGGGTTCTCTGTCTCTTTGGTTGCATTCAGGTGTGTCCCCACCCAAGAGTCACAATGGAGCCTGCCCAGATGAACCTCTGCACAGGAAGCTGGAGGCAGGATGCCTGAAGCAGGGGGCTTGTGGCAGCTGACCCTTGCTCCTTCCCGTCTCCCACACTGTCTCTTTTCTTGCCCACCCTTAGCTTCTCGTCTTGACTATCTACAACATCACTGTTGCTGTGAACAGAATAAAGAGCCCATGTGTAAGGGGATCTGAGTATTGCTAGAATATGTTTTAAATAGAAGATAACAAATTACTTTCTTCTCTCTCTGTGTGTGTGTGTGTGTGTGTGTGTGTGTGTGTGAACACTGGAGTGTGTGGTGTGTGTGCACGCACACACACACACACACACACACACACACACACACACACTGAGGATCAAACACAAGACCTCACACAATGCTCAGCAAGCACTCTGCCGCTGAGCTACACTCTGCACCCTGTGGAGAGGGCTATGCTTCTGGAAGGCTGCAGAGCACTGCTGTGGTCTACTCTTCTCCATATGTTCTTCTTTGCTTCCTATTGCTGTGAAGAACACCATGACCACAAACAGTTTGGGGAGAAAAGAGTTTATTTCATTCAGTTTATAGGTTACTGTCCATCACGGAGGGAAGTCAGGACAAGAGCTAAAGGCAGTGACCTGGAGGTAGGGGCTGATGCAGAGGCCGTGGAGATATGCTGCTTACTGGCTTGCAATTGAGGCCCCTTCTTCCTAATGACCCAGCTTGGATCAAGTTGACAAAAGCAAAACAAACAACAACAACAACTTACTAACGAGAACATCAGAATTTGTATTCACTTGTCTCTGTTTAGAGGAAAATGATACTCCTATAGGCCCTACCACAGAGCAGGGGTCCTTGATTGCCTAGTACTTGGCAAAAGGAAAGGCAGTATTGCCTATGGGAAAATTTGCATACTGAGGACAGCTCTCCTGTGCCCTATTACTAACTGTGTCGATTTGGGCAAGTTATCTTTCTGAATTTTGTTGTCCATATTTGTAGAGACCTACAATCTGAGAAATAAAGGAGATGTCATGAAGTAATTAGCTCATTGTCTGGCACATGACACTCTACACATGCTAAGATTAAAAATGTGTGTTCATATGATGGGTGCTCCTGAGATGCTTGTAAAATAAACAAACCAGGTTTCCAGGTGAGCTGAGATCCTCTCTAGAATAGAAGCACCTCTCACCCTTGTCCAAACTTTCTCCAAAGATCCTCACTGATTATTAGAGGGTCCCCGTGCTAAAGCCAGAACCTGAGCAGTCTACCTGGGGTCATCTCTAGGAGCAATGCTGGACTGTGTTGAGATGTAAAAGCCAAGAGTTCCTCCCAAAGATCTTTATGATTCTAAAAATTCTAGAAGTACAAAATCCATCCCTGAGATGGAATATTTGGGAGGCAAAGGCAAGTAGATCTCTGTGAGTTCAAAGACAGCCTGCTTCATGTATCAAGTTCCAGGCCAATCAGGGCTATACCATAAGACCCTATCTCAAAATAAGAAGGATAATGGTACTGCTGATGATGGTGATGATGAAGTTAAATAAAATTTTAACTTCAGTTTTTTTTATTCACTGTTCAATTCCAATGCCACATGTGGATAGTGGCATTCATATTTCACATGGTACAGATAGAGGTCATTGTCTTCACTGTAGAAAGTTCTATTGGATGCTGTTATGCTAGAAGCCCAGCAGTGGCTTGGAGCCATGCATGCAGAGGGTAGAAGTCAATGATGAGGTTTTGTAAACTTAATCCTGTTTTCTTAGTCTTGGCTTTTTCTTCTCTGTTGGTTTGTATAGGAGAAGACACCCAAAAGAAGAAGGAAGCTGGAGAGGCAGTTGGTTAAGCAAGAAGAATTGAAAAGACTCCATAAGGCTCAGGTCAGGAAACAAACATGTGAAGGGTACCCCTGGGGTTTGGATGGAAAACCCTTCAGGAGTCAATCTGTACTTGGGAGATAGGCCAGGGAAGGGCCTGCCTTCCTTCTCTGAGAACCAGGCTTGTGGCCATTCTGAAGGTCCTGGACCAATCCCCAGTAGGGCTCTGGGATGAGGAGCTCAGGAGGTTGAACTATACTCACCCCAGTTACCTTTTCAGTCTCAGGTTTGTGTCCTGCAAAAGAGAGGCTGGCATGTGGCTTTGGCCATCATCATAAGCCCTTTCTCCCCCAAAGTAGTGACCTTGGTTGTATCTTCAGTAAGGACAGAAGCCATCCTCCAACTCCCTGACTGAATCTCTGTTAAATTTCTAGCTACTGGGGTCTAACTCCATTTTAGGATTAGTTGAAAGCATACGTACCTATCACTTTCTAACCCAATGATTTACCCCAAGCATTTCTGTCACAGAAGAACAAAATGAAACAGATGGCATAAACATTGTCCCTCTCTAAGTCTAGTCTTGAAGAACAACTGGGCTTTAGTGTAATAAATGCTTAGAACAATCATGCCTGTTAATCTGTGCAGCATTCTATTAAATCCACCGCTGTGTCCTTCATGTAGCCATGTAGTCTCATGCACTGGTCAGCTTTCTGTCACTGTAACAAAATGCCCAATGCAATTAACTTTAAAAGAGCTAAGTGTTGTTTGGATTTATAGGTCAGTCATACTAGTCCATGGTCAGTTGGCCCCGTTGCTTTGGGCTTGTGGGGCAGCAGCAGATCATGTCAGGGAGTGTAGCTAGAGTGAAGGCAACTGTTTACTTCATGGCTCTGAAAGCAGAGGTAGTGAGAGAGGGAAGCGTTCCTCATATCCCCTTCAAGGGCACACTCCCGGCGATGTGGCTTCTTTCTGTGAGACCCTGCCTTCTAAAGGTTTCAGTGCCTGTGGTAGCACCCTCGACTGGGACGTGAGCTTTTAGAGAATGAGCACTGTGTTTACCTGCTTGGGCTTCTACAGCCACAGACCACAGCCTGGGTGGCTCAAACAACAGATATTTCTTTTCTGGAGGCTGAAAAACCAAGATCAAGGCACGTCAGGCTGGGAGTCTGCCAGGCCTCTGTTCCTGGCTGAGAGACAGCACCTTCCCACTGCATCCTCACAGTCTTTTTGAAGTGAGAGGAGAGGGGAGAGGAGGGGAGAGGAATACTTTTCAGTAATCACACAGATAGGAGGCCCATTAGATCAGGGCTCCACCTCTATAATCTCAATGGTCTCCTTAAAACACCTCATCACCCTGGGAGTTAGGGTCTCAACCTACAAATTCCGGAGCAATTCATTTTATTCCAGAACAACTTCATAGCTGTAACTGCACAACAGTCAGCTATAAAGTCACCCAACCATCTAGCAATCATGTGCCTTACCTGTGAGGAAAAAAAAACGGCTTTAGCAAGACACAAGCCTCTTTCAAAAGCAGCAGAGAAGAGGGTGTAAAATTACAAGCAGTTAGCAGCAGAATTCCCATCTAACTTATGTTTCTGGCTTAAATATGCATAGCTGGGGCAAAAAGAGCCAGGTGGCAAACTCATGGCCCCGTTTAGGTCTCTTGGTGCTGGAGATGCCTTGCCCATTGCACCTGGGATTCCAGGGGAGATTTAGAAGGTTGGGCATTAAGGGGAGAGAGAAGCAGACAGTTGCACCACCGGCCCAGGCGGTTCATGGTTTCTTTACTGTTCCCGTTCAGCTGTATGTAAGGATGGCCCTGCCTCCCAGTATCCCAGTGCTTGAAAGCAGGGAGAGATGATGGAGATGAACAAAGCTTACAAAAGAATGACCTTGTTCAACTTTCCTTCCTAAGAGACTCCATGAGGGTAACAGCTAGTAAGGAAAGTAAACACACCCACCCAAACCTAAGTATAACCTCAAACCTCAAACCTCAAGCAAGTGCTTAGGGGTCCACACAGTGTGAGGTGTACACCTTGTGGGTTCAGCACCTGGTGTTCCGCCTTTATAAATGGAAGATAACAGATCCACAGGCACTTCCCAACATGGCAGCATCTTGAGCCACGACCAGGTACAAGGCATGGACAGGCGCCCTTTGTAGCGAAGGTGGAATGAAAGATGACCCCCCCCCCAAAAAAAAAAACCAGAGCCAATCCCCAGGAGCAGCTCCTTCTCAGGTCTCAGCTGTTCCTTCCTACAGAACAGAATCTGAGCACCCCTAGCCTGTGCTGAGGAGACAGCCCTGGCCTTTGAGCCCATGGTCATAGTCCAGGACTCATGAGGATCCCCTGGCCAGCCCAGGAGCCTCTCCCAACACTCCAGTGTGGTGGGCCTTGTCAGAGGGCATGTCAGTTACACATATACAGATGCTGTGCTCTGTGCTCACCCTAAGGACCAAAGCACCAAGTCCAGACCTGGGAGCTCCACTGTCTCCACCGAGTGAACTGAGGCAATGGCAATGCTGGTGACAGCTAGTAGCAGGCTCAGCCCTCTCTTGTGCTCCTACATATACAGAACCCTCCCATGATTGCACTCTTGGTCTTGCAGGCCATCCAGAGACAGCTGGAGGAAGTGGAAGAGAGACAGAGGACCTCAGAGATCCAGGGTGTGGAGCTGGAGAAGGTGCTGAGAGGAGAAGCCGGTACAGTGGATGGGGACACAGCTGTGGGTACAGGTCTGGGTCCAGACTCTGAGAGTCACGCTGGCCTTGCATGGCAGGGAGGACAAAGAACACTCATCCCCTTCAGGAGACAGGTCAACGCGGGCATATGGTGCTAAGGCCACTGCCTTATGCTTCTATTTTTTATTAATTGATTTTTATTTTATGTGTGTGCATGTTTTCCCTGCGTACAAGTCTGTGCACCATTGAGTCCACAGAGGGCCTCAGATTCCTGGGAAGTGGAATTACAGATGCTTATTAGCTTGCCACATGGATGCTGGGAATGGAACTCTTGTCCTCACCTTCTGGAACAGCAGCAAGTGCTCTGAGATGATGAGTCAGCTCTCCAGCCCCAAGCCTCACACTTTAACCGTGAAGCTGATGGTTTGATCTGAAATTCCTCTGGACATCCTCTGTAGCTTTCCCTCTGCATGAATGACCTTTGAAATTCAAAAGTTGAGAAAAATCCAGTAATGTCGGTTAAGAGTTCAATCCTGCTTTCTAAGAGTGGCTCAATGGGTAAAGTGCATGCTGTGCAAATGTAAGGACCTGAGTTCAAATCCCCAACACCCATGTAAAAATCTACACACAGTAGCACATGTCTATAATCCTAGTTCTGGAGGGGCTAAGGGAGGATGATGCCAGGGACTTGCTGGTCAACCAGTCTAGCAACCCCTCCCCCCCCCCCAAAAAAAAAAACAAACTCTCTGTTCAGTGAGAGGTTTCATCTCAAAAAATAAAGTGGAAATTGACCAAGGAAGAGGCACACCGTCAATTTCTGACCTCCACATGCATGAGCACATAGGCACACACACACACACACACACACACACACACACACACACACACACACACACCTACCTCTATCCCCTCCCATACACATGAATTCTGTATTTAAATTGGTTTCTCTTAATGCAGAGTGAGCAGTGAAGGGATGTAACTCAGCTGGTGTAGCTTGACTATGTGTTTCATGAGATCATGCGTTTGTCTCCTAGTACCACAAACAAACAAAATCATATCACCTGTTTTGGCTGGGCATAGTCCTAGGAAACTCACTCACTCAACCTCTCAGATTCCTTAGTTGAAAAGTGAGCTAACCCACAGTACCAGGCTATTTTGAGAATTCAGGTGCCATGTACCCATGTCTCTCCTACATGGAGATAGTTCACAAACATCAACTGCATTCTACAAAGCAATGCAGTTCGAACAGACACTTTCAAGGAAATACCCAGCTCTGCGATCTTTCCTGCCAGAAACTTAAATTACAGACCCCGAATGTTTACATCTCACTTTGAGCATCTCCCCCAGTCCCCCAACAGTGGAAAGGAGGAAGCTATTTTGAGCCAGACCTAAAGAAATGGGGTTGGCTATTGGTGTTGTCAAAGGTGAATCAAGCCAACCCAAAGATGGATTCTCTTCATTCCCTTTCTACTCTCAGTAAACTAATTACTCTGTTAGGTTTCTCATCCTTTTCTCCTTTGATGTCCTTGTGAGGGTGACAGATGGAAATCAGCAAGGGGCTAGGGACAAAAAATAAAAATAAAAAAAGGGTCATGTCACAGAGAGTGGCCTCAAAGGAAACCAAGTGGAATCTGCAAGCCGGGCCATCAAAATGAAGACATCCGTATTTGTGCAATGGTCATATTCCTCTGTGGCTCCGCAGTCTATGTGGTCCCTTGAGATTGCCCTGCCGCTTAGCGAATGACCGATGCTTATTGGGTTAAGTTGTATTTGAGCTGGCCTCTGCTGCTCCCATTCAAGAGATTTAATGAGAATTATTTAATAGGTATTATTAGGATAATTAGACAATGATCACAGTTAGGCAATAATATTGAGCTATCAAGGTTGTGAATAACCAAATTTAGAGGCAGGCCTGCAAACAAGGAGTGGGCTGCGACAGTTAGGCGAGGCCCCTCTATAATGACTGGGGACAGCCTGAAAGGGTCTTTTGTGCCTGGGAGTTATTCATTAGGCCCATTGAATTAGAGGACTATGCAGGGGTGTGGGGTAGAGGGTGCAGACTGAGGGCCTTGACGTCTGAGTGAAATGAGTTCTTCATTGTCCTGACAACAATTCTGGCTTTCTTTTAAAATTTTCCCCCCAATAATCAGAAATGAGCTCTCCCCACCCCAGCGTAGGGTTCCCCCCCCCAATTTGTTCAGGAAAAGGAAACAGTGAAGCAGAGAGCTAACCATCAACCCCAAAAGACAAACCAAGACACACAGGATATCTGTCAATGTGGTGGGTATCTTTGGCAAAGGCAGCAGAGAACCCCATAGTCCCATGACTAAGTCACCAATGGAGCATGATACTCAGAGACCTGGACCCCATTGAGTCCCCACCTCCTTGCATGAACAGCCAGACCTGGCACTGTCAGCTACTTGGACTTGTCTAGTTGAGACACTAGAGAATGTTAGGATTACATCGTGTTAAATGGTAGGATCACCAAATGCCCCAGCAAGAAACTACTGTGCAGATTAAATGGTAGAGCAGAGCCTGAGCTTTCTTTCCATGTTTGGTGAAAGGAGAAATCAAATGTGAAAGAAGAAAGGTTTCAAAGGATGAAAGGTTTATTTTGAGGGAAGGTGGGCGAGCAAGTTCCTTCCCTCACATGGCCTTGCTCACTTCAGCCAGCTGCCTGTCTGCCTTGGGCTTCTCTCTTTCGGTGTAGCCTCACAAGGATAGCAAAGACAATGCAGGTGCTAGAGGCTACCAGCAGAGGGCAGCAGCAATACATTATGAATGTTTAATGGCCAGCCCTTCTAGGAAGAGGGGAAGTAGTTTAGCTGCTACCCTGAGGAACCCAAGGAATGCTAATTTCCTGCCTCATGTGACAGTGAGGGATTCTGGACAGAGCACAGGAATGAATCAGGTGTTCTTGAATGAATCTTGACATCACCAGCCTTCTGAAGTTACAGCTCTGTCAAATTTTCCCATCTGTATAATGGGACTGAAAAACCTTCCTCCTAGGGATGGTAGAGATAGATGAAAGAGGAAATGATAAGGCAGGGTAGGGGGATGGATCAGTTCCACACACATCGGAGGAACAGAGTTCAGTACCCATACCTGTGGTAGAAAGCTTGGTATGGCACCCAATCCCAGTGGAGGCATGAGGATCCTAGGGTTTACTGGTCAGCTCAGCCATATCAGTGAGCCCCGGGTGCCAGTGAAAGACTCTGTTTTTAAAGGAAGGTAGGAAAGGGGGGGGGGAGAATGAGACCGTTTTAGTGAAGCACTTGGTAAATGGGGTTGTCACATCTTAGGACATCAAAGGGATGGATGCTTCTCTTTCCTTTTGAGTACCCCCCCTTATAAAACCCAGTGAGGTTTAGCTCAGTTCATTTGTTTATACATACCTTCACATTCATTTCTAACTCTCTAGACAGAATGTAAGCTGCTTTCCACAAACATGTATAGTCCATGAATTTCATATGCTTGCCCATAGAAAAATCTCGAAGGAATTCTAACTTAGTAGCTCATGTCTATAATCTTCTAAGGAGGCTGAGTCAAGAGGATGAGAAGTTCAAGGTCAGCCTGGGCTACATGGTTACCCTCACAAAGAAGGAGGAGGAAGAGAAGAAGGAGAAGAAAAAAGAGGAGGAAGATAATTTCAGTGTAGGTTGTGGAAATCTGTATGACATTAACATGTAAACATCATGTGCATGGGCACATGTCATGGCACACGGAGGACAACTTGCAGGAGCTGGTTCTCTCCTTCTACCATCTTTCCTTAGGATCAAACTGTTGTCAGACTTGGGGCAAGGATAGTCTCACCAGCTGGCCAGTTTTGTTTTTTTTTTTAAAGGTGTGTGTGTGTGTGTGTGTGTGTGTGTGTGTGTGTGTGTGTGTGTGTAGTACCCATGAAGGCCAGAAGGGGGCATTAAATTCCTTGAAGCTGACAGGCAGTTGTGAGTTGCTGGGCACCAAACTGCAAGTGCTCTTACCCAGAGTCAACTCTCTTGTCCCCAGTGTAGATTCTTATTGTCACTCCCAATACAACAACAACTACATGAAAACAGTTCAATGAAGAAGACAAAGCCTGTGGCATGGAGGGGTGCCTTTTGCCATAATTTGGGGATGAACTGGGGAGTGGATGGCCTTAACATGACCTCTGAATGGAAAAGCAGTGAGTTGAGGCTAACCTATTGGCACCCAGTCCATGTGGCTGGTTTCTGTGCTTCCACATGCAGCAGAGCAGGGAGGAAGGAGCTCTCTCCATGATTGTCTAGTACAGGTGGACATAAAAGTGGAGACAAATGTCATGTTAACCCGTGTTTAAATATGATGTCGGAGAAGAACGGGACTCTTACAGAGGGTCTCCAGGAGTCACTCAGATCTGAGGTTACTGAAGCAAGGAAACAGTTTGTCTCATTTTCCCCAAATCTGTAGACGCCACTGCTGAAGTCCAATGTTTCCAGGGATGGGCACTCGTGATTCATTGCACAGCAAATAGCAGGAGCAGTAACGTGGTGGTGGTGATACAAGAGGTCTGTCCCCAGGTCCCAGGCTATGATACAGTAGGTTTAAATTAACACACCAAAGCTAGTGCCACAGCTAGGGAACCCAGGGTAAAGAATACAGCAGGCTTTATACCAAGCAGTGGGTGAGTGGGTTGTGCAGTCAGTGCAGTGTGGGCTTCTGAGCCACACAATCTTCTTCTACTGTAGTCAGAGGAGAGGCTCAGGCTTAAGACGCAGAAGCCTTGTGCTTGACACACACAGGTATGCTCACAGTCCAAGGAGACAGCCTCACTCAGATATCAGTAGCCATCTGTTACATGTCCACTTCTGTTCCCAGCTTCATTGGCTACCCTGAAGACATGGGTGTGTCCAACTTACAGCCATGGACTGCATGAACCCAAAGGCGGCTGGGAGCACAGCCCAGCACAGATCATACACCTGTTTAAAAGGCTGTGAGGTGGATTGATTGGTTGGTTTGTAACTCACATGTGTAGTTCTCCTCCTTTGTAAAGGACAACATTC